GATTAGTCAGAACTCTCTTGAGCCAACCAGCCCAGCCCCAATCCTCTGAACAGTGCACTGGGGACCAAACCTTCAATACACGAGCCTTTTGGGGGAGCCACTTCATACCCAAACCACAGCAGAACTTGCGACTGAGAACTTGCGACTGAGAACTTGCTCAGTCAGTGCCAAAGAACTACCTAAGAAAACTCTGTGTAGTTCATCTGATTTTTTGGGGGGTAGGGTGGTAAAACATGGAGCCCAAGTCTACCTCCTTGTAATCTCAGTGTGCCCGATCTGGCTTGCAGCCTCTCCTAACCTCCCCCAGCTGAAACGCACATGCTTTCTCCTTAAACAACTGGGGGGAAACGTAAACATCAGACATGAACTGCCTGCCTGCACTCAGGTCAAGAGGGAGCTCTGAAGTCAGGGAACTTCTATGGGACACTGTGTGGCCGTGGGCATGACCCTTCCACACCTGACAGCAGAGTGAGTGTGACAGGGCCATGTTCCTGGATGTGCACTGCAGGCTGCACTTCACACAACCCAAGCTCCAGACTGGCCTGTCACTTCACACACACACACACACACACACACACACACGCCCTCCCTCCCTCCGCCAGGCTGGATCTCCTGGACTTGTCACCTGTGCTGTGGACTATTGGAGTCTCGGGACTTCCATCTCTGGTTCCCGCAGGGTGCACGAGAGGAGATGTGGAGTATCGATTCTGTCATTCAGCACATCAGCGCTCCCTAATGACGCCGTGTCATCTTCAAGTTTGATAAGCATGCCTCTGATGTCTTTATCAAGCTGCTGATTCTCCTGCTCAGCAAGCAGGGGTGGGGGAAGTGGAGGAGGTGTGTGTGTGGGGGGGGGGGGTGTAGGCAGGCAGCAGCCTGCCTTGGCCTCCTCTCATTCATGTATCCATATGCAGGGGCTCTACCAGCTGTGGGTCCCAGTCTCCTGGAGCTTCCCCAAATCTTTGTCCTGGCAGCAACTGCCCCTCGCCCATCCTGGCAGAACCAACTGTGAGACCCTGTGTGTGAGTGGGGTGGGGGCTGCCCAGACTGAAGTCAAGAAGCCTCTTCCTTTCTGAGTACTCCTGCAGAGGCCCAAGGAACCCCCTCCATCTTTGAGGATGCACCGTGCTCACCAGCCCAGAAGAGGGTTGGGAGAGTGGAGGAGAGCACAAGGCCAGCTCCTCCCTGCTGGCCTGTGTGCATGAAGCTAGTAGTATGGATGCTCACTGTCCAGAAGGAAGGCAGAGGCTCTAGGTCCTGGACTTGTGCTTCTTCACCTAGAAGCTCAAGACAGATGTGTGAGGAAGAGAGGCTCTGCTGAGGCATCTCACCCAGCCTTTGACCTGAGTTCAAGGACATAGCCAATGGTGTCACCATGCCTCAACACGTGCGGGCAGGAAAGAAGGACTCCATTTCTGGCTTCACTGAAAGTATCTTCTGCCCTAGTGGTAAGGCCAGGCAGTAAGCTCCTATCTTTGAGGGGTACACAGGCCTCTAGAAAGCAAAGGCAGCACTGTCACCTGGGAAAAGGTCCACTGAATACCCTTTTGTCTGCTACGAAGTTAGGGGAGATAGCCGGCAAGTCTGAAACCTGAATAAAGATAAAAACAGGCAGATCACCTATGTTTTTAGTATGTTTCAAGACAAATTCCAGGCTTAATGAAGGCAGCATGCATGCTACCAATTCCTTCTTTCCCTCTCCTTTCTAGAACCAAGATCTGTCAAAGGCCCGCCAGATGGCTCCTGACCCGGTGCCTGCCACCTCCTGGTTGGTCAGTAGAGGGCGCTGCATCACCACTCTGCTGGCAGCCTTGGTGATAGCAACTTCATCCCGTGTCCACACAAAGACCACACTTGAAAAGTGTTCTGAATGCCTGCAGTTTAATTCTCCACGAGAAAACACAGCAAATCACACACTTGCTCTTACAGACAATAATGCCACCTATGTAAAAAGTATATAGTTACAAAAAAAAAAAGGAGAAAGGTTCTGCTCACAGGATTTGTTCACCAGAGATAGAATCTGCTCTATTATTGTTCCATTATTTGCTCAGGGACTTGGGAGTCGTCTGGAGTGACAGCAAGAGGTCCTCCTTGCTTGTGAAACCTATGTGAAACTGAATCTGGGTCTGGGCCTGGGCCAGGAGGGTGTGGCAAGAATGAGGGGAGAGCAGGCCCCACCCACAAGGTTCCCAGTGGGGACGTCGGGAGCCTGGCACAGGATTCCAGGAGGAGGGCTCAGCCCAGGAGCCCAGAGAAGGCTCCCTGGGAGAGGAGACACTGGACCTGCCCTCTAAAGACAGAGGATGTAAGACACACCTGGTACGCAGCACTCAGGGCAAATGCACAGGATCAGGCGGGGAAGAAGAGGCTGCTAATTTGGCTTCAGGTTTGGAGCTCGAAGCTCAGACAGAAGACAGGAGAGAATGCAAGAGCTTAACAGGAAGGCCTTCACAGCTCACAGAAGAGCTGGGTGTTGGTGCTGCAGGCAGGCGGCCCACATCCAGACAGAGGGGTGTCTGCCTCTTCTGGGGAATTTAGAGAAACCAGACGCCTTGAGGAATAAAATAACTGACTATTTCTTTTACCCAAGTAAGTAAGTAGCATTTCATTTAAAAAATCAAATAGATTAGATAAGAAAACAATACCAAAAATCACATACAAAAGACAAAAGCAAAACAAAAACAAACAAACAAACAAGAGCCTGGTGAGTTAGGAGCTTGCACAGGTGTGCACACAGGAGGGCATGGGACAGATGATTTTTTTTTCTCACCTGGGAGAATTAACATGCATTCAATGATCTCACTGCACACTGGCTGACTTAACTCAGGCAAATTAGAATACATTTTATATTGACTATTTTGACATTTGTTTTATCTGGCAAGTAAAACAAAACTGATCCAATTTCCTTGCAGCCATTGTAAACCATAAACTGTACAACAGAGGTTATAAAATATATAAGCCTTATAAACACTTTGTTCAGCTGTGCTACACATCAGTTCTGCCCAGCTCCCAGTGGCCGGGTGTTTTGGGGCCACCCATTTCAGAGGCAGGTGACCCTGCTCTTCCCTTTGAGCAGCAAGCTTCTAGGAGAGCTCTCTCCCTGCTTCTCTGGGAGGCCAGGGGCTCCTTCACCCAGCAGGCACTGAATACCTGCACTAGAGACACCCTCTCTATGTACCTCGACAGAGGCTGCTACAACCACACTACACGGTGGCCAGATACCTGCAAGCTCTCAGCTTCTGGGGTGAGCCCAAGCTTAAGCTGATGCTGGCACAAACAACAGGCCCAGGATGATCCTGAGCACAGGACAGAGCTGTGTCAGGGCTGTTGGTCAGCGGGAGAGGAAGTAACAAGTGCCACAGGAGCACTGTGCCAGCCTCGTGTTCCTGAGCCCGCAGACTGCTCACCTCGCAGCTCAGGGAACTCTCTGGCTCCTCCCTTGCGCTGTAACCAGAGAAACTGAAAACTACCTCCAAAGGGTCAGGTGACTCGGGCTAGATACTTTTTTGTTGTTGTTGTTTTATGCCAGTGCTGGGACTTGAACTTAGGGCCTGGGTACTGTCTCTTAGTTTTTTTGCTCAAGGCTAGTGCTCTACCACTTGAGCCACACTTCCTCTTCCAGCTTTTTAGTGGTCAATTAGAGGTAAGATTCTCCCAGACTTTCCTCTGTAGGCTGACTTCAAACCAAGATACTCAAATCTCGGCTTTCTGAGTAGCTGGGTTAACAGGGACCTGGCAGAGCTAGTTACGTTTTTTTTGTTTTTGTTTTTGTTTTTATTTTTTGGTCGGTCGTGGGGCTTGAACTCTGGGCTTGGGCGCTATCCCTCAGGTCTTCAGCTCAAGGCGAGCCCTCTACTGCTTGAGCCACAGTGCCACTTCCGGTTTTCTAATGGTTTATTGGAGATAAGAGTCTCACGGACTTTCCTTGCCCGGGCTGGCTTTGAACCGTGATCCTCAGATCTCAGCCTCCTGAGTAGCTAGGATTACAGGCGTGAGCCTCCGGTGCCCAGCTGCTAGTTATGTTTGAACAACACCCCAGCATGCAAAACTTCAGGACAAAGACCCAGTTGTCTTTCAAGGCAGGGGTCCTGAAGCAGGGAAGCCTTGGTTCTGTGGCTCAGACAGCAGTGCTCTGCCAGTGAAGGCATGGAGGAACCGCACACAGAGGGCATAGGCCCTCTGTGCAATGCACTGTTTTATTTCACAGGCTGCAATGAGGATCGAGACCATTACACCCTCCCTCTGGCCCAACCCCATCAGTACCAGAGTTACCAGTTTGGTCACCTTGGTCTCTCTGTGAGATCACTTGCTAAAAAGAACACCATCTCCTTAAAACTTCTCATTCCCCCCCCCCCCCCCCCCGCATTCCCTTTTCTTGGTTTGTATCACAGTGGAAAAGATGCAGTAATAACATGAATACCATTACTGACCAGTCCCTCTGGGTGTTTCAAATGGCCAAGGCCGAGAGGAAAGCGCACTTTTTGGAGGCCGGGAGGCTCTGACCGTGTGGCTACTGCGCATGTGTCTGCATATCAGCGAGCTTTTTTTTTTTTTTTTTGGGTCCGGTCGTGGGGCTTGAACTCTGGGCCTGGGCGCTGTCCCTCAGCTCTTCAGCTCAAGGCTAGTGCTCTACCACTTGAGCCACAGCGCCACTTCTGGCTTTTTTCTTTTTGCTTATGTGGTGCTGAGGAATCGAACCCAGGGCCTCAGGCATGCAAGGCAAGCGCTCCACCACTGAGCCATCTTCCCAGCCCTCAGCGAGCTTTTTGAATAGCAATTTTAGCTTTCAGATTCTGCTGCTGTAACATGTGCATAAAAGAGGATATAGAGCGGGCTTTACATCCACAAAGCACACAGATTTTGAACCGGGAGTTTTAATCATCTCTAAAGGCACAAGCTGAAACTTCTGTACGTTTTCAGTTCTACGGTGCTACTAAGTGGATGTACTCTAACGTGCTGTGAGACCCCCAGACCACACGCGATGCCTCCGTGAGGCTTACCTGGGCAGGTTGGGGGCTGGGGTGGAGGCGGCCGATGACTGTGAAGGCGTGGTGGGCTGGGACGAGTCGTGGTTTCTTGGCACTCTGCCCATTCGGTACCAGATCCCCATGCTGTTCAGTTCCCTTCAGGAGAAAAGGAGGCTGTTTCACAGGCTGTGGCAAACCAGCTCCTTCATGACCCACAGCTTCAAAGCCCAGAGATTCCATTCTGGCCCACGGAAGATGGGACATGTCTCCTCCCATTGGTGCTCAAGGCATCCCAACTAGGGTCTAGAGTGTGTGTGTGTGGGGGGGGAAGGGGCAGAGGGGGGAGGTGACTGTGCCAACTGCAGGACTGACTTCTCCACCCACCCTGAGCCTGGCCCTGCCCGGCATGGCTGTCCTAATGACACTGGCATGCTCTTAGGAACTGAACCAGAATGACTTTGGCCACATTCAACTTCTCTACTCCCTCCTCTCCCTGCCCCCCCCCCCCACTCCAAACGGCATCTTTGGGATCAGAAGCAGAAGAGTAGCATCTCTTCAAAAAACTCTGCGAACTATTATTTTTGGCTACTCTTAATAAGCTTCTCAGAGCTCTCTAGCAATTGTTCTAAACCTTAACACCGTCCTATTTGAGGAAGTCCTCCCTACACACTGGCACAGGACTCTGTCCTGGCTCAGGCTTCCAGCAGTCCCTTCCAACGGGAGGTTTGCCTCCCTCAGGGCAACCTCATGTCCTTATGCGGTAATGTGTGCAGTGGACTCGTTTTTAAGAATAAGTGACTTTGCCAGGCCCTGATGGCTCACGCCTGTGATCTTACCTACTCAGGAGGCTAAAGATCTAACAATCACGGTTCAAAGCTAGCTGGGACAGAATAGTCCATGAGACTCATCTCCAACTAACCACTAAAAGCTAATGAATTATCACTGACTTTTTAAAAAAGAATGAATATGGTAAAATAAAACTACCTTTTCAAAATCATATAAGGGAAAAAAGAGTCTAGCTTTGCTTATCAAGACAAATACAGGTAAAATCTATTCTTTGGAATTGTTTAATTTGGTTAAAATTGCACCATTTTACAATGGTATAGTTTGTAATTAAAATGCACATAGTAACTGCATTTAGACTTTCAAGTTCATTACTGAATGGCTGGTTTCTGCTATTTGTATGTAAAACACTGTCTCTAGGAAAGTGTGGTTATTCTGAATGTTTTTCCCCTCCTGTAACCTGTTTGCAAATAATTAGTCTATAGCATGTTGCACAAAACAGGTGTGTGTGTGTGTGTGTGTGTGTGTGTGTGTGTGTGTCTGTGTGTGTCTGTGTGTGTGTCTGTGTGTGTCTGTGTGTGTCTGTGTGTGTGTGTGCATTGGAATTGGGCTTGAGTCAGGACCAGAGTGTGGTCTTTTAGCTTTTTTTGCCCAGGGCTAGTGCTCTCTCTACCACTTGAGCCATAGTTCTACTTTCAGCTTTTCAGTGGTTAATTGGAGACAAGGGTCCCACAGACTTTCTTCTGCATGGGCTGGCTTTGAACCAGGATCCTCAGATCTCAGCTTCCCGAGTAGCTAGGATTACAGGCATGAGTCACCAGCACCTGACCAAAGCAGTGGTTTTTTTGTTTTGTTTTGTTTAGTTTTGTTTGTTTTGTTTTAGTCAGTTGTTAGGCTTAAAGTCAGGGCCTGGGCAATGTCTCTGAGCATCTTTGTGCTCAAGGCTAGTGCTCTTCCACTTTAAGCTACAGCTCCACTTCCAGTTTTCTGATAGTTAACTGAAGATAGGAATCTCATGGACTTTCCTGCCTGAGCTGGCTTTGAACTGCGATCCTCAGATCTCAATCTCCTGAGTAGCTAGGATTGCAGGTGTGAGCCACCAATGCCTGGCTCCAAAGTGTGGAGGAAGGTAATGATCACAGATGTGCGGGGCCGGGGGAGGGGGGAAGAGGAGGGAAAACACCAGATCCTGCCCATGCCGAGCACATGCTCCATCTTGAGCTACACACATGTCCAGCCCAAGTGCATCTTAAGTTGGTTCAGAGCAGTTGGATCCAGAGCTGAGGAGTTTAAAAAAAAAAAAAAAAAACAGTGCACCAAGATGAAGTTAATTGCATTTCTGTGACACACTTCATTCGTACAGTTAGGCCCTGTCTGCAGCCCACACAGCACCAGTGCCAAGAGGAAAAGCACTGGCTTGGGAAGTAAAAGATGGCCCTGAGTTTAAAGAGGACAAGAGCCAAACAATGGCAAACTCAGGCCCAGCAGCTGACCTGGGAAGCCGAGTTACGAGAATGTACTGCTGGGAACCTATGGTGAGCTGTACGGTGCTTACAGAGCTGAGAGCTGTGCTAGGGAAGGAAGCCATGGCTATGGGCTGAAAACCATCCCCTGGGCTGAATCATCTGGGAGACCCGATGTCAGCTGACAGCACAGCGAGCATCTGCTTTTGGACACCCGGCTTCCGCTCATCTCAGCTCTGGCCTTTCTGACTTTGATCTCCCTTCATGTTTATCTCTCTTCATATGTCTTCTTATCTGTCCTTCAGTTCGAATAGAGCTGACTCTGCCTCCAGCTCAGCCTGCTCCATCAGAGAATGACACTTTCCAGAGAACACTGATCAGCTCTCAGCACTTGACCCTATTTGACCAACGAGACGGGATTTAGAACTTGGCTATAGACTTACTCTCTGCCTCCCAGGGGATAGATGCTAAGTTGACAGAGCCACCATGCCTACCAGGGGGAGCAGGTGTGAGGTGGAGTCCTCCCAGGGGACTCGGCAAGGAGGGTCTTGGAGTCCTCTGAACTACTTCCGGCTGCCTGGAGCGCACTGGCTCCTGAACTCATTTGTTCAAACTTTTCCCTCTGCTTAGGCCAGTCTGGGTGGGGCTTCCTGTCACTTATGACCAGAGGGAATGCTGGGATTGCTTTGTACCTGGAACTATGAAGCGGCTTCAGGGCCAGGCCCAGGCCCTGCACTGAGGCTGCCACTGAACTGCATGTCACCGGCTAGGCCCCAGGGGCTGTCTGCCTATCAGAAGACAGCCCTTAACCACAGACTTCCCATGAGTGAGCACCAAGTCACGTGATATTTGTGATTCTTCCTGACTTGGAAACTTCCAATGGCTTTGCATTGTGTTGGGAATAAAACAGACAGCAGCCACGTCCCAGGAGGTCCTCAGTCCAATACCCGGTCCCTTCCTGCCCACCCTAGGCGTGTGGGACTCTTTGTTCCTAGAGCATGCTGCTCCCCACCCTGCTTCCACACTAACTCCTGCTCTGCCTGCTCGCCTTCACGGCTGGCTTCTCCTGACACGAAGGTCACCTTTGCTCAAAGTCACCTTCCTGACTCCTAATTGGAGTAGCCGCAAGTCACCACTAGGGCACATTTTCCTCACCGTGCGAGCCCTGTCATTTATCTTCTCGTTCACTGTACACCTCTTCCTTTGAGAGCAGCAGCTGTGGGAGAGCAGGGCCTTTGCTTCACCCTTTCCCTCCCACGTTCCGTGTGTACTCAGTATACAAAATGGATGCTCCACAGCTGTGAGGGGGGTCAGGGCCCAGCGTGGTGAGGCTGATGGGGCAGTTGAGAACCTGGTGAGCCTCATCCTCTAAGTGACCCGAACGTTCTCCGGAGGACACAACAGATGGAACCACACTGTTGACTCACCCGATAAATGTGTACTGAGGAGGTGCTTGCTTGGTCCGGCCCATGATTCGGATGTCACAAATGGCCGCTTCTGTGGAATCCCGGGGGATAAATTTAATGCACAGCCTCTTCTTTCTAAAAGCCACCTCCTCTGAAGGAAAGAACAGGGAAGGGATGAGTCACGGAGATGCCCCACCTCTGCTCTGAAAACCATGTGTCCTGGCATGTCCCTTTCCAGGCAGCAGAAGCAACAGATCGCTGTCACCAGATGGAGGGCTAGGCTCTACCCCTGCCTTTCCTGGGCTGCAGTGGACAGGCCGTGACAGTATAGGACATCGGTTACCCTGCTCCATGCTCAGGACCCAGTCTCAGCCAGCCAGCCCAGAAGTGGGTCCCAGGAGTCCACAGGCCCCTGAGCTGGGTTAGTGGATGACCTGATTAGCCATAATTCTTCTATATACAAAGCACTAGGCTTCCCCAGCCCCGGAGTAAATGTGTTAGCACATTTCACCAAGTGCACTTCTTTTCTTTATTATGTAAATCTCCCACAGTGTGTGCATGGTGGTGGTGGGGAGCAAGAGAATCGACGCCCACGCTCCCTTCACCGGGCATCAACTCTTGCCAGTGAATGACTCCCTAGCACCAGGTCCTGACCACCTCCCTCTCAGCAGGCATTTGTTTCCACACCACCATGCGCATTCCTAATGAAATCAGGAAACTTCCTTATAGTCAACTTTTCTCCATTATTTCAGTTATCGAGCTTTTATTTTTTTGGGTCAGGTCGTGGGGCCTGAACTCTGGGCCTGGGCGCTGTCCCTCAGATCTTCAGCTCAAGGCTAGTGCTCTACCACTTGAACCACAGCATCACTTCCGGCTTTTTTTCCTTTTACTTATGTGGTGCTGAGGAATTGAACCCAGGGCTTCATGCATGCAAGGCAAGCGTCTACCACTGAGCCACCTTCCCAGCCCTTCTCCATTATTTCAGACCATTACTGACTGCTGATTTGTATAGCTCAAGGCCACACCAGGCTGATGGATCTCTCAATCCTTTTCTTCTGTCCCAACCTCTCCTGCTCGATTTCTCTTCAGGGCACACACAGGCTGGAGAGATCAGGGCATTCTGTCCCGTTTCAGGTAGGTAAAGGCTGGATTAGGCCACATCCAGGCTGTACAGGTAGACACACAGCTCATGATGGTGTGTGTCCGGGTTAGCTTGAATTCCTCTAAGTATAAAACTTCTCCACCTATTATTTGGCCTGCTGAGAGCAGGTTCGCGCAGAGGAGGATGAATAGCTGGGCTCTTTTTCATTGTCAAGTCTCAGCTCAGAGAACTGGGGCTCTAGCAAGTGCTGCGGTGACCAGTGATAAAGTGTATCTTGTGGTTCATTTGTGGTTTTGAACATGGCTTCAAACAATCCATGAGTCAGTTGGATCTGGGCTGAAATCCCAACTCTGACTTATTCTGGTGCCCTGACCTTAGGAGAGTTGATTGAATGCTGTAGGCCTTGGTTTTTTATCTATAAAATGAAGCTATGTTGGAGCTTAGAAACTCTGTAGCTTCTTTCCCTGGTGTAGAAGCTGAAGGCTGTATCAGCTGTATCAGCCCTATAGGCTGTAATGATGTCCTGAATCCAGACCCTAAACCTTGTCCCTGACAAGGCAGAATGGGATCCTGGTGAGGAGACCCCGAGAGCAACCCGGCACCTTCGAAAACCAATGGCTGAGCAGTCAGACCAGCACCAAAGGCACCTGAGATAGTGTGCAGAAGACAAGGCCTGCCTCAAACAGAGCCAAGTGCAGGAAGCTCGCGTGCTTTAGCCATGCAGCCTCTGGCCCCAGCCCACCCTCTGTCTGCCGCCCCCTGGGGTTAGGGCTGGAACCGCTCATTACACTGTACAGGCCCTGGCAGGCCTGCTTTTTAAGTAAGTGTATTATCCACAGGCAATAGAACCGTGTTCAGTCATGCTAAAAACACAAGGAAAGCGCACAGCCCTTTACTAAAACAAAACAGTCTTCCTAGGCTTAAGTGCTCTGTGGATTGCCGCAAACTCTAGTTGAAATCAATTACAGGATTCTCATCTTTTTGGCTGACTTTATGAACTCAGAGCCTTATGTACTCTCTGGGACAGGAGAGGAGGGGCAGACCTAAGGCTCCCTATTCCCTGGGTGAAGTCTCTGGGAAATGGCCCTTGATTAGAAAGGAAGGGGTCCTCAGGGCTGGGAAGGCGGCTCAGTGATAGAGCGCTTGCCTTGCATGCATGAGGCCTGGGTTCAATTCCTCAGCACTACATAAGCAAAAAGAAAAAAGCCAGAAGTGGTGCTTGGCTCAAGTGGTAGAGTGCTAGCCTTGAGCTGAAGAGCTGAGGGACAGTGCCCAGGCCCAGAGTTCAGGCCCCACGACCGCCCCCCCCCCAAAAAGGAAGGGGTCCTCAGACCTGAGGTTCTGTGCAGGCACTTGATGGAGAGTCCAGGGCCTGACCTCAGAATGTGCATGGTAGACGGCACCTGACGGAGCCGCAGCCATGGGGGACAGGCTTCTCAACCAGGCCTACATGATCCCCAACTTCTGACGACAGCCCAGACAGGTCTCAGCCCCAGGCCCCTCATTGACCAAGTTTACCAGCAGAGGAAAAACTGCCCTGTGCCTCAGGAGCAAACCAATGCAAAGACAGTGGGGCCCACTAACTATTCAAAACAAACAGCCATGCCAAGCCCACAAATGTGGAAGGCCTGGGAGTAGGGGACAGAAATTAACAAGCAATCTTAGTTGATGTAAGAAGTAAAAGCACCAGTGTAAAGGCCTAACTTTGCTAGTGAATAGTAGAATAAAGGTTAGATACAATTGCCAGGCGCCGGTGGCTCACGCCTGTAATCCTAGCTACTCAGGAGGCTGAGATCTGAGGACTGCAGTTCAAAGCCAGCCCGGGCAAGAAAAGCGGTGACATTCTTATCTCCCATAAGCCATCAGAAAACTGGAAGTGGCGCTGTGGCTCAAGTGGTGGAGTACTAGGCTTGAGCTGAAGAGCGCAGGGGCAGCGTCCAAACCCAGAGTTCAAGCCCCACGACAGACCAAAAAAAAAAAGAACAAAAAAGTTAAAAACAAGTAGAATAGTAAAACTGAATAAGAGTGTGGACATCTATACTGGGAGGTATGGGAATCAGGCACACGTCCGGATCATCCCCAGAATGGGAGATTTCTGGGCATCCACTGGCAGCAGAGGGGAGTAAAGTGGGTCTCCACGGAGGCCATGTGCTGCTGAAGGCTCCATGCCAGGCGGGAAGCACAGGTGATTCCTGTAGACATGGTCTACATTCTCAAGAGAGAGAGAAGGAGCCAGGGCTGAGGAAACCAAAGCAGCAGCTAGGACGCAAACTGCAAGGGGCAGGAAGAGCCCCCACCCCCCATCTCCACTTGGCAGATGAGGAAACTGAGGCCAGGAAGGTGAGGGGATCTGCCCAGGGCTGCACAGCTGTAAGTGGCAGAGTCAGACTGAATAGTAGGTAAGATGGATACCAGAGTCTAAGTTCTTCCAACCACGCTAGCACACAGCAGCTTGTTCTAAGAGGCAGGCGGGTCCTGCCTGGCTTCCCGGACCTGCATCTGCTTGCTGTCCTCCATCCTTCTATAAGGATGCTCTGCAAGGCAGCAAAGGAGGCAACAGGGCCATGGCCTCCGCCAGTTTACAGTGCCGACAGTGCCTCCTGCTGGACACGGTAGCAAGGTGGGTTCTTGCCGGCAGGTCTGATGCCCTGTGGCCTGAGCTCCTCGCTCTTCTCCAGACTCAGCACCTGCAGCGCCTGGCCTGAAGCTCTGCAGAAAGGAGCACAAGCTGCCACAAGGCGACCTAACGCCAGACTGTCACCCGCATGGGCACACAAAGGAGGGGGTAAGGGGGGCTTCCTGGGCCAAGGGAAGGCACTATGGGCAGGTAAAACAGCAACTCACATGCCTGGAGTCAGAAGAGAAAGGGTAGTGAGGAAGGCGTGGTGAGGACTGGGGCAGCAAGAAGTGGGGTGCGGGGAGATGAGGGATGCATTTCATGTGGAGAGGGGTGCTGTAGCTCCAGCACTGGGAAAATTATCACAAGGAAATCATTCCCAGTCTACATACACACAACTCATCGACAGAGTCAAAGATTCCTTCCTATCAAAAAAATCTCAGCTGGTTCTGTCCGGAAGCAGGCAAGCTAATCTTACAATTCACATGGAAATCCAGGAACCCTCCAGAATAGCCAAGACCAAATTGCAAGAGAGCAATGTTGGAGGGTTTTAAACCTTTCTTTCAAATCTAGACTGTGTGGTAACCTCATAAGGAAAGACATATGGATCAATGGAAAAGAACTCCAAGTTCAGAAATAAAATCCTGTTTACAGCCAGTGCTCCTTGACCAGAACACTGAGACCAATCAATGGGGGAGAGACGAGCCTTTCCACAAATGGTGCCAAGACAACCAGACATGCAGATGCAGAAGGACATGGCTGGATGCTTTTTCACAATTAACGAACAATGGACCAAAGACACACAGGCACACAGACAGACACAGACACACGCACGCACACACACACACACACACACACACACACACACACACACACACACACACACACACACCTTTACAACAGGATCTGCCTGCTTCATTCAGGTAACAGAACTATGGCGGTATCTATACCAATATAGAGACTATTCTGTGGGAAATGCCAGCAGGAAAATGGAAAACCGACAGTGACCCCAGAGAAGGCTGACTATGGAAGAACGTGAGCATAATGAAGAAGGAAGGACAGAACTGCACACATGACTCATGCCACAGAAGGATGAAGCTGCTGTGCAAACTCCTAAAGTGCTAACACAGAATCAAAAGTAAGCACAATACATGAATTACAGCAAAGTGAAGAAGCGTAAACATTTAGAAGTTTCCCAGCACTGTTGCACCACAGAACAAGAACAGCAGGACCAAAACCATAGTGCTTTGGTTCCAATGCTCCAGGTCCATTGCTGTGGGGCCTGAGGTAGGTTCTGCTTCAGCAGTGTTTACTTCTGCCTAGCATGGCTCAGTGATCAAAAGATGTAGTCAAATTCAAGTCCTGTGTGCTCTAACTTGCAGTCTTTCTGGCTTACTTTCTAGTTTGCTGTATGAGACCAAAATGGACACATCATTGCCCTTCTGGTACCCAAGCACCTTTTGATTTCCCTCTTTTTGCTTCTGGGTCTTGGGTCATGTTTGGCTTCAGGAGTATCAGAGGACAGACTAAAGATGGAGGCTGTCACCAGATTTCTGGTTCCATTCCTGAGGTGTTCACACACCACCACCAGGAACACTGCAGATGCCTCAGAGACTCCGGTAGACAGGCATCATGAGCAACAGGCTCTGTTCCTGGCACACAGTGAGGTCTCCTAGTATATCCCAAGAAAAATCATCCAAAGTCCTCCTGGGGGAAAGAAGACTGGCACGGGACTGGCAGCACTAGGGGGTGACTCACGTGTGTCCACCGTCTCCTGGATTGGGATGAAGCCCACGGGCAGTGTGTCCTTGATGTCAATGAGCTTCATGTCCACTAGCACGTTCCCCAAATGACTCTTGGGAAGAAGAAAAGAGATACAGACTATTAATCTGAACCCGCCTGTGGTAGGTTGGCCATGTTGGCTTGAAGATGCATATTTAACACAATGACTCATGCAGCTTTACGACAGCAGGTTAATTAGAGTAGGTGACACTTAATGTTCCTTCATGGTTACACAGGGACTCCAGTGGCCCCCGGGAAGGAGTTTCATGTCCAGAACCTCAAGGCCACCTTCTCAGACTCGGCTTTGGTGAGCTGGACGGATGACCCAGAAAACTCTATACCCAGAACCCAGCAGAGGGTAGCTGTGCACAGGTCCCTGGACCTGCGGCCACTCAGCCCTGGCTGTCACAAACAGCAAAAGCCAGCAGGTTTGGGAAAGAGCAGCTTCCTGAGGACACCTGTAGGAGAATTGCCACTGGACCCGGATGGGAGTGTGCACATAGACGCACATTTTGGTTATTAGATACCTTCTGTAAAAACTCCCAAGAATCATAAGCAGAGTAAATGCCCTGCTGCCTCCATATTCCACGTCTTCTGAAAGGACATGCACAAAGGGCCTCTTACAGCTCCTATTTAGTGATGGGATGTGGGGTCCACCATGCGCAGTTTACGTAACTGGTATAAAAACATCTTTCGAAGACTAGTGCCTCATTCTGTAACTGCAAGTGAGAATTCTTTGTGAGCACGCCGGCACTTGCAGCCTGCATTTCACATTTAGAAACAGCCCTAAAGAAATTTGTCCTGCAACTTAAATACACAGGGCCACCACAGAGATTTCAATAACATCTTCAGGGCCATTTGCAGCCTCGTCAGAGCCAGTTAAGGGAAGAATGATGGGTTCTTGTCCCATATCTCTCCTGTTAGGATACAAAGCAAAACACTCCATACTCCCATTTTCCCGTACCATAGCCTCCAGAGCCCAGAATGACCTGCTCTCCTTTGGCTTGTCTGGACAGCGTTCCAGCCAGTCAGCCTATGCTCTGCCCTTGGCCACAACCTTGTAGGCCTTTGTTCCTGTCTTGCTGGGGGCTGGGGAGGGGGGGAGGGAAGGTTCCACCGGTTCCATCTCCAACTCCCTCCCCAGGGAGCCAAGGACTCACTCTGCCACCACATGACACCAGAGTCTCTGAAAGTCATCGGAAATTCCTGTCATCTAAACTAAGCCATGCCCCACTATACTCATTTTGTGTGTGTGTGTGTGTGTGTGTGTGTGTGTGTTTGTTAACTTCATGTCCCTTTAGAATCTTACTTGTGAAATTATTTGTCTAAAATCTATGGTCCCACTAGAGCTTTAAATGCCATGGGAACCAAAATGATCTCTGCTCCCACCCCAAATTCAAGCCTAGCATAGTGCTTGTCCCACCACGGGTGCTTGATAGTGATCTGCCGAATCAATTAATGTTTGGGGGCACATTTTTCAACTGAGTGGGTCACTGAGAGTCAGAAATCAAATCAGATTTGCTTTAGGTGGCATATCATAAAATCTAAGCCATATCATAAAGAATTCTGAAAGTGTGTTTAAGAAATACATTATGAACCAAAAGTACACAAAGGAAATGAATTCCTCACACGGCAATATGAAGGTCAAGATGGCAAGTGGAGCCCGTGACGGGTGAGTTCGTGGCCTGCCATCAAGAATCCATTCTTCCTTCTCTGAGCATTATGACACTGGCCAACAATTTAGTGTTATTACATCCCAGAGGGCGGGGGTGTGTGGGAGGGGGTTCCTCAGGAAGACAATGTGCACAGTTAGTGGGACATGACACCCCCGCCCCCGCAACGCGGAATAAATCTCTGACCGCTCGCCCAACTCACACACATCAGCTGCTTTCAGAATTGCCTGATCTAATCTATCATAATTTTTTTTTTCATGCCAGTTGCTTTTCCATGTCATCACTGCTTTCTGCATTGAGAAATTAACAACTGGGCATGTTTTGCTGCCCTGTAGATGGATGGGCATTCATCAATATCCTTCTCCAACGTCTTTGACTCGACAAGTTGGGTTTTACAGAAGTCAACTGCAAACCACTTAGCGACCAGAGCACGGGAGGGGGTGTGTGCCTCCATGAAAATGAGCACCAGAAAACCGTCCTGTGCATACCAAATGGGAGGCTGCACGGGTGAAGCTTCCTGCAGCCCAAGCGAGGCCCTCATGCTTGGGGCTGCCGCTATGCAGGTTTAATATACTTGGGCTGCGACACCATTAATTTTGCTTGTTCCTCTCCCCTCCCCCATCCGGGCTCCCTTTCATTTCCTCCTCATAAATATGAAGAACGTATTCCCAATCCTTGTTGAGCACATGATTCATGCCAAAAGCCCAATACGCACTGACTCAGTGTATTTATATTGTCTCTGGTAGCCAGTATTTGCTAGTATACTGTAATTATTTTTGACAACCTTGCATTTAAGGTAGCCACAGATAACCAACTTAATATTCAAATGTTCATAAATCCTTCTGTTTAATATCCTCCCTACCTAATCTATGTACATTATTATTACAGGTAATGCAGAAAGTACAGGGCATGAAAAGTGCAATTAATCTCCATCCTTCCCCAGGAAGCAATGTCACTCCGAAGCCAGGTTTCTGTATTAATAGCATTATTGGGGAAAAGGAATTTAGGTTCCAAAGGAGGCTCCCCAAACTCCTACACTGGGAGTCTCAAGTCACCTAATTAAGAATCTGCCCAGCTTTGATGTCCCCCCTACCTTCTAGCACTGCTGGAAAAATTATGCTCTACAAAGCCCTGGTTCAAACAGCAAGGGCCAGGACCGACTGGATGAAACCAGTTAAGATACCCCTGGTTCCTGTCCCACTTCACCTGGCTGGCAGGTGGGCTCTTGCCAACCCCCGAGATTCCATTCCAAATAAAGTTCATCCCTTGACCTGACTATCTCGATCCCATTTATTGTTCCCCAAAATGGAGCGAACCCAATTTCCATACTGCTTCGAAGCGTGGCAGGGGCTTCTTCCACTGCTCTTCTGCTCCCTGATACCCCTCAGCACCCCAATACTCAGCTGGGGATGGTCAACAAATCAATGTGTTCCATAGAACATAGGTACTCGGGACACACAAAACTAACAAGCCCTGGTGACATCTTTTCGGCTGGACTTGTCACTGACCACACTCCCTAGGGAGTGGTGCCTCTTACCCTGCAGCCAGTGGAGGGAATGTAACTACACACACACACACACACACACACACAGAACCAGAACTGGCCACAGAGGTCATGGCTGTCCTCTGCAGCTATAACTGAAGCCTCTGTGGTCTGGGCAGATGAGCCTTGGAGACCAGGAAGGAACACCTGGAAGCTAAAAGAAGGGTGCAGACAGGCATTAGTCCAGATCTCAGGATAGTCCCCTCACAGCCAGGCTGCAGGAGCCTGCTGACTGACCCTCCACAGGAAACAGTGGTGTCCAGCAACAGAACAGAGGTGACAGGAGCTCAAAAGCTCCAGGAACAGTGATGCTGGTAGGCCCCGGGGGCGGGGGAGGGGGTAGAAAAAGGAGGGTGATAGGACCTACTGATACCCTCAGGGGCTCATGTCTGGGAGGGCAACGCCACCACCAGGCTTGCTGTCTGCTCTCTCCTCCAGGTTTGCTGTCTGGTGTCTCCTCGGGCTCCAGGGAGCGGGACTGCGTGGGTACACTGTACGTGCCTGGGCCATGTTCGGTGTTCAAAACACATTTAAATCCCTGCAGTAAAAACACTCCCTGAGCCCACCAATGCCTTCTCCTCAGTCACAAAGTGCGCCTACAACAAGCAAATACACTGCTCTTGTAATTAGGTGGAAAGAAGAAATGAATGTCCTGACACATTAGGAGTCACTCTAAAAAAGAACAAAAAACCAATGAATGACAGGAACAGGGAAGGCAGGGAGCGGGAGCCAGAACACCGCAGAGCCCTACCTGGCCACACCTGGGCTGGGGGCTGCGTCAGAAAGACTCTCCCCTTCATGCTTCTCAACAAGAAGCTTTCAAGTTACTCTGGTTTTGGTTGATCTTATTAATAATAAACCAGTATTATTCCTTATAGTTAAATGTACAAAAGTGAAGTGGCAATTTTTAAAAAAAGATTTGCGTTTGAGAGCGACAAGAACATTTAGCCAAAAATAAAATGCCCTCTCCTTCCCCTAACTTAAAAAAAAATGAAAATCTGAATGCTCCCTATTTGGGGTCAGGGAAAACAGGTGACTGTGGACAAGTCATAAACTTCAGGGTCTTGGCGTGTGTGGAAAGAGGGTGACCCTGGAGGCACATTTACAGGTGCCTGGGATTCCTCACCAGGGAAAGAATTCCCTTCCCATTTTTGCTAAACCATTCATTAAAAATGCCATATTGGCAAAGTCATAGTACATACCTTTATAATTTCCTAATTTAGGGCCCAAGTATCAAAACTCATAACAATCTGCACATGTGGATACCTACCTACAAAAATAACGGCAAGACCTATCTCCCAGAAAGACTCAGAGAGAAGGGAAAGGCCCTTCTGGAAATATGGCCATGTCTGGGGCTGGGTGTGGGGAGCCAGGAGTGGCCTTGGGGCCTCCCTTAGAGCTAAGCTGTCACTGGATGGCCAGCATTAACCCAAGTTCACTGCTACTCTCCCATGTATACTGCCCAGTGATTCACTGCTTGCTGCTTGGTGAGGAAAAAGTAGGTAAATGAGAGCTGGGAGAGAAATTTCCTGATGTCCTTTGGAGAAGACATTTTAATGGAATTCACTGTACACTTGGGTACATAGCTAATAACACTGTTAATAAATGGGACATACTGCTGGCTGCTGATGCTACCCAGTTCCCTAAAACCACAAATAAATTAATATGGCAATGAAAATAAACCACCACCACAACAACAAAAAAAAGAGGAAATTTCCAAACAGAAGTGTAAATCACTCCTGCATTCTCAGCAAACAGAAATCACCACTAGACTTACATTTTCTTTGGAAAATGATCTTGTGAAACACAGGTATCTGGTAACCTTGGACTTGAATAAGCCGTCCTTCCAGAGGTCAGCATCCACGCCATCTGCTGTCTGTGCCACCTGCACCGGGGAGAGAGAGAAGAGAGTCGCAGGTAAGGCAAGACTGAAGGTGTGCGCAAGTGCTGCTTCCATACCTGGTCCAATTAACACTGGCCCGAACTCTCCTGGCATCTCATTAGCTTGTTTCACCAGGCACACGGAAGAGAAGTTCCGAAAGGGGAAAAGGGAGAGTGTGAAAAATACAACTTCTAAAAATATTGTCCCGGGGGAAGCCATTGATTAAAGACACCCTGACAAAAGTGGTCCTAATGAGGAAAAGAGCAACTTTTGTTGTAATGGACCAAGAAGGGACTAGGAAGTCAGCACATTAGGCTGCTCATTAACAAGTACTGGGGGGGGGGGGGGGTTCAGAGAGGATGGCACAAGATGCAGAAAAAGGCCCAATGGGGTGTGAAATGCACCTGAGAGAGGCACCCCTCTGGTGGGGCTGGCAGGATCTCCTGCCTGGTAGGGGGCAGGAGTTGGGGGGAGTGGAGCAGGAAAGTCCCCTCCATGCTGCATTCTCCTGGTACAAGTCCCAAAAGGGGAATTCAAGGTCAGCAACCACATCATGATAGAAAGATCACCGCAGACTCAGTTCCCTGTTTCTAGTCTCACTGGGAAGCCATTTTCTAGGAAGTGTTCAACGGTGAAAGCAGCTTTGATGTGCATTATTGGTCTGGGGTGGGAGGGGTGTGTGTGTGCTGGGGGAAGGAAGCACAAGGGCTGTGCCCTCATTCCCTTCTTCCCAGCTGCTCTGTCACTAGATGGCAAGGGCTCAGCCCGTGTGACACTGGGTAAAGCCTCCATGCCACTAGAACCATGTGGGGGCATCGGAAGATCCAGGGAACAGTGCCATCTTTCTAGGTCCATCCAAATGGGCCTTGAAGCCATGGCCTCCTGGCTGCTTTTGATTGTGCTTTTCTGGTTTGCTTAGAGATCCTGTCCTTGATCCGATGAGCTCCTAGACATTCTGACAAACTGCTAAAATATCTCCGTTCTTTACACAAACTGCCTTGATCAAGTCCAGCCAGCGCTAAGGCACACCAGGGCTGCGTGCAGCCCACACTTCCTAGCAGCACAGGATGGGGAAGGGGCCCCCAGATACTCCTGGAGGCCACCCCAGCCACAGTCTCACAAGGTAAAAGGATTTTAACTTAGCAATTACTAGGATGGGGGAAAGAAAGGATTTTGTGCAAAGAGGCAAATCTATTTGTCCTGAATGCTGAAGGAGACTTAGAATTGGGTGATTTTAGGGACGGTTTGCTCTGAGCATGCGCCTCCATTTCTGTCCCCCGCCCTGTTCCCCACGGTGCACTGTCAATAGTCTTCCCCATGGCGTCTCCATACTCTGTGGTCTGTGGTCTGGGCTGGAGTCCCTCGGCCTCCCTTTTGCAGAGGAATAGCCCCCGGGGCAGCTTCTCACACCAACAATACGAAGGCACTTGCTTATTATCACTGTAAATTCTTCCTCCAGTTAAGTTGGAGGAGCTAAGGATCTACAAGACAAATGTCACAGTGAGAAGAGGGGACCCCATGACTGCCTTAAGGCAGTGTCTGACCCCAGTGCCCTGGGAATCCAGCCCAAGCTCACAGGCCCTGGACCCCAGAACCTGAAAGGCAGAGGGAGGAGGAGGATGGGGAGCACCAAGGTCCTGGCAGCATGGAATCCACAGGCTTCAACTTGAAAGCCAGTGGCTTTGTTTGGCAAGTCGTCTGCTATGGGTAAAGTGGAAATGCTGCCCTCCCTGGGCACGGTGGGTTAGAGGAGAAGTTGCCAGTGAAAGTAGTCACCCTGGGTATGAACGCTCACAGGGAAGCACTGGCAAAGGCAGCCGTAAGATTCCAAGTGAGGACAGATTATCACCAGGTCTTGGTTTTGTCATTTGTCTTTGCAGTGCTAGCAATGGAGCCCAGTGCCTCACACGTGCCAGACAAGGGATCTACTGCTGAGCTAACCCCTTATTTAACATGATGTCATAAATATCAGGATTCACAAAGTCCTCCATTGTCACCTGGAGTTTAGTTCTGACCTCTGCTCCCGAGATTCTTTCCCTATCTCTGGGCCAAAAGCCAGTCTTCCAAACACATATGCAGCACGACAGGACTTGGAGACTGTGGCTCTCTCCAGGACTAGGTGACACCTCTTGTGGTTGATATCTTACCAACTGTGCCAAGCATAGAAATTTTGCTACAGGAATGAATGAACAAGCCAGAGTGAGATGGGCAAAAGCTTACCTGCTGGCTACCCAGGTGACATGGTAAGTGAAGCTTCCAGGCCCAAGCCCACAAGATGGCTGTCACACAGAAGCCGCCCTCCCTCCCTTCCCAGCTACCACACTGTGAGCCGTGAGTTCTCATACCCCTGAGGCCACTGCTCCTCCAGTCATCTCGCCCATTCCTAGCATGGCTGCTGGTAACCACAGGCCCTCCAGACCCTGGCATGGACACAGACACACAGACACAGACACAGACACACACACACACACACACACACACACACACACACACACACACACACACACACACACACACACACACACACACACACACACACACACACACACTCCCCTGACTGCCCTTTCTCTCCAGCCTTTCTTCCCAGCATGCAGAAGCCACTGGAGATAGAGCAAGAAGTGGTCCAAAAACCAGGGCCCATTAGATCTCTCTCTTTCCTGCCAATAATCATCTACAATGATAGAGAAAGTAGAGCAAGAGGGAAGCCAAACGCAGGTGAGATGTGACCCATGCCACCGTGGGAACAAGTGCTGGAGGGGGTGACTTATACGCTGAGCCCAGGCCCTGCCTGAGGTGCCACCAAATGCCACTGGTAGGTGGGGGGGGGGGGGAGCTCAGGGCTGCATTGGGTGGGCAGGAGCTAAGTTCATAAGAAAGCAGCAGGACTGTGAGTGGATGGCTCACGTCTGTAATCCTAGCTACTCAGGAGGCTGAGATCTGAGGATCATGGTTCAAAGCCAGCCTGGGTAGGAGAGTCCATGAGACTCTTATCTCCAATTAACTACCTGCAAACCACTGTGGCTCAAGTGGTAGAGAGCTTGCCTTGAGCTGAAGAGCTGAGGGACAGCGCCCAGGCCCAGAGTTCAAGCCCCATGACTGCAAAAAAAGAAAAAAGAAAGAAGAGAAAAGAGAGAAAGCAGCAGGGCTCCCATGTTTCCCCAGACCTGTCACCCCATTTCTACAGAAAGGGCACATCAAGGCTCAAGACCCCTGAACCTCAGCCCCAAAGGGAAGGAGTGAAAGGAGAGGAAGGGGTGTGGCTCCAGACTGAAGATAGGGACTTACCTGTGCATGCTGAGTGGTGCCCCAGCACCTCCTTCTTGCCCCAGATAGCCCCTAATACTGAATACTGAAGGCCTGGTTTGGAGGAGCAGAAGCATTGTGGGGGTGACTTCCCACAGGCCCTGCATGTCCTAGGGAACAGGCCTCCCACTCTCCTTCAGCTCCAGCTCCATCAGCCAGTGAATTATACCTAAATATCAACTGACAACAAAGGACCACTAGGCTCTGGGGACAAGTCACAGATATGAACAAAGTACCCCAAATGCAAAGCAGGGAACTGGAAGCAGCATACATAATAGGAAGAAATCAAGAAAGCTAAGAGAACAACCTAGACCACAATCAAAACCCTCCAGGGAGGAGTGGGTTTTTTACACTCGACAAACAAGAACAAATGCTGTGACAATCCTTAGGAACACTGTGAAAATAATATAAAGAGATCAGGAACCAATAAGTAAGAGCTAAATGGCTGGTGGCTCATGCCTGTAATCCTAGCTACTCATGAGAGTGAGATCGGGGAATCATAGTTTGAAGTCATCTCAGGCAGAAAAGTAGGATTCTATCTCCCAGATATCTAGCAAACAGCTGGCCAGAAGCTTGCCTCAAGGGACAGAGCACCAGCCAAGCAAGTGAGCCGATCAAAAATGAAGTCCTGAGTTTAAACTCAAAAGTACCAGGGGGAGGAGGAAAAGGAAGGGAAATATAAAGCTAACACTTAAAATTGAAAAAAAGAAAAAAATTGTCCAAGCACTAGAGACTCACACCTGTAATACTAACTACTCAGGAGGCTGAGATCTAAGGATTGCGGTTCAAATCCAGCCCAGGCAGGAAAGTCCATGAGACTCTTATCTCCAATTAACCATCAGAAAACTGGAAGTGGCACTGTGGTTCAAGTGGTAGAGTGCTCCTCTCAAGTGAAAAAGCTCAGGGACAGTGCACAGGCCCTGAATTCAAGCCCCAGAACTGGCACACATGTATCCTAAAAAAAAAAAAAAAGCATCTGTATGACTGAGCAAATGAAATAAATACGCTTTGTCCAAGAAAGAAAATCCACTCCAAGTTCATTGATTGATAAACAGATACTCAGTCTCTGTGCTAGAATAGCTTGTAGCCACATAGCCCAAAGTCTAACCAAAGTCTGTGAGGAGGAGGTTAGAAGAGAACAAATGTTGTGGATAGGTAAAACACAAAATAAACAGTGTGTCAAATTACTCTGACATATGGAGACTGTGCATCAGGGAAGAAAATCTTACAAGGTTGAAAGCAACTGCTCCTGGGAAACGGGGACAGTGGACAGGGCCGCGTCAGTTCTCATATGCTCTTAGATTTGTATCTTCACTTTGTGAAGATTAAAGCACATTTTAACTGTAGAAAGCCAGTAGCTGGATGGACGGACGTGGAAAATGGTGTGGAGTTCAGGGTTCCTTTAGACAAACTGTCGGTAGTATCGAGGACTTCCTTAGTGGCACAGCATGCTCTCACTCCTACATGGCACTGGCTGTTTTTCTAAGCTGGCAATCGTGTCTAAAATGGCACGTGGCTGGGTCCATTACTCCACCACCTGGTGTCCATGAAGAGTTAACTTTTGGTTGTTTCAAACAGGGCTATAATGCTTGGGGGGGGGGTGGGGGAAGGTCCTAGCAGGGTGGTGGCCATTGATGCAGCCTGGACAACAGAGCTTATACTCAGATCTTTCTCCTCCTCACACAGCTGGGCTTCTGATT